ATTAATCTTATTTTATAGAAATATTTCCCTGTATCCACTTAGTTTATCAGAATAGCACACACACTACACTACAAAAGTTCAACTAAATACAAAAAATCAGTAATAGAAAAATTGATGACCACCACCAACAAAAAAGACATTAAAAAGCAGATTACTAAATTGCAAAGTGAATTTTTCCTTATTAGTAAGTTTTTTATATATATATATTTGTTTACACAGGATCTGCTAGGTCTGTTTTCTTGCTTTAACCTCCTGAGCGACTCAGACTATAAGTGTATACCACTGTGACTTGCTTTTAAGGGGGGGCAGGAATTGAACCCTGGATTCTCATGTGACTTTAACCTACCAAGTAGCAGCTTCTCCTCATGCATGCTTCCATGCCTGGGCGTATGAGTAATCACTTAAAATGTAAATGTATTGAACTCTCCTGTTAAATGTATGCACAAAAGAGTGTATTTAAATGATGGAAGACAGCAAGGGGAAGTCCTGCAAACACACCACCAATCCAAGGATTACAACCTTATCAGCAATTGGTATGTATTTCGGAATACCTTTGTCTTGGTGTGCCTTGGGTGGTTATAACAAAATACCACAAGTTGATTAGCTTATAAACAACAATGATTTATTTGTCACAGTTCAGAGACTGGCAGTCCAAGGTCAAGGTGCTGGCAGATGCTGTGTCTGGTGGGGGCCTGTTCCTCATAGACAAAGGCCTTCTTGCTGAGTCTTCCCATGGTGGAAGTGTAGACAAGCTCTCTTGGGCCTGTATTTATAAACTCACTGATCCCATTCATTGAGGGCTCTGTCCTCTACCCTGATCACCTTCCCAACAGCTTCACGTCCTAATCCCATCATCTTGGGGTTAGGATTTCAACAGAAGAGTTTTGGGGGAATCAAACATTCAAACTATAGCATCTCTCTATTGGGTTGTTGGAAAAATCATGACACATTTTTGCATGGAAAAAATACATCATGACTTTTCCAGTAACCCAATATAACCCATCCTTTTGCCCTGTATTCTACTGTGTTCCTACTTTATATAATCACTATCCTGAACTTTGTAGTCAGTGTTTCCTTCCTTTTTAAATTTTTTTTCCAATAATTTCTTTCTGTATATTGCTCCTAAATAACATGTTGAGGATTTTTTGGCTTGTGTTTTGAGCTTCATAAAATGCTGTAAAATTACAACTAATTGGGACTATTCCCTGGTACTTGAGTTTTAATCTATAATAGTATTCCTAAATGTCATCCATGTTGCTACATTAGTTCTCTCTGTTATGTAATACTGATTTGTATAAAGATACCACAACTTATCTATCATTTGATGATAAATATTTTAGTTGTTTCCAGTTTGTTTCTTTATAGTAGAGTGCTGCTATTAAAATTCTTGCACATGGGAACTGGTAGGTGGTGTGGTGGTTAAGATGCTGGACTCCCACACGGCAGTCATGGTTCTCATCCTGAACCTTGCTTTCTTACTTACCCCTACCCCCACATCTCTCTCTGGTCAAATTAAAAAATAATAAATAAAATTAAATAATTCTTAAGAAAAAAATTTTGTACACATTCCTGGTGCTATAAAGAAGTTTCTGTGGGGTATATACCTAGGAGTAGAATTTAAAATTGATAGGCTATAATGTGTAGTCTCTCCAATACTTGGTATTTTCATAATTTTTGTCAGTCGAGTAGGTATAAAATATTTCATCATGGTCAAAAATTTCCATTTACTAATGATGTTGAATTTTTTTATAATTATTTTCTGTGTGTTTCATCTCGTGCCCATTTCTTTTTTCTTTTCGGTTGTTTGTTCTTTTTTGGAAGTTGATTTCTTTTTTTTTTTTTTTTTAAATTTATTATTATTTCATTTTGATGAGAGAAGGAGAGGGAGAGAGAGAAAGAGAAAGAGAGAACAAGCCACCAGGCCCAAGATTTGAACTATGGTCAGCCATGTGGGGGGTCCAGCACCTTAACCACCATGCCACCTGCCAGCCCCAAGAAATTCATTTCTAAGAATTCTTTATGTGTTGTAGATCCTAAGCCTTTGTCAGTTTTATGACTTGCAGGACCAGCAGATGGCATAATAGTTTGCATCGCTGGACTCCCACGTACTCTGCTGCAGTTCAAGTCCCTCACCCGGTAGCTTAAAACTCACGCTGGATGCACGTGTGTGTGTGCCCAAGATCCCAACAGAAGAATGGAGGAGAAGGGATTGTGGCGTAGCCATACCCCCTGGGGGGTGATTTTTCGCTTTCTGTCTCTCTGTCTCACTCTGTCTTTCGAGCACGCACACATATAGTAAAAAATATCTTTGAAAAACAAAAACAAACAAAAAACTTCTAGGTTGTGATTTCTCTTTCCACTTTAAAAATTATTTAATTTTATTTATTATTATTATTTTGCTATAGAGCATGGGTATTCACCACAGAGAGAGAGAGAAAGAGAAAGAGAGAGAAAAGGCAAGCTGCCAGGTCCAGGACTAGAACCACAGTTGGCCACGTGGGAGTCCAGTATCTTAATCACGGTGCTACCTGCTGCCCCCTCTTTTTTACTTTTTTTAATGGTGCCTTTTTAATGAATGAATGCTATTCAATTTAATGTATTCCCATTAGGTTTTACAATATCCTTTAAATAGGTCTTAGATATCCTGCACTGGTGGACCACTGGGTGTTTAGTGGGTTTTTGGCAGCACTTATGAGTAGAATTTTCTTTCTGTTACTTTTATATTTTCTTGCTGTATGTTACTAATATGAGTAATCTAATTGATTACATGGAGGTTTTGTGACCCTATACGATTTTGCGGTGGAAAATAATCGATCATTTTGTAATATTTAGATTATTGTATAAAAGTAGATGTAAACTTACCCTTGGTAATAGTTAAAAATCATTTTTGATGATTTATCATTTTAATGATAATCATTTTTGTTTCCACACCCTTTTAAAGACCCTTTCATCATTAAAAGACAAGTTTAGAAGATTTCACCTTAGCAGATACTAGTCCAGGAACCAACTCGTGGCATGGTGCTTAAGGTGGCTGGATCCTACATGGCCAACCAGGTGATTTAAGTCCTGGACCCCATGGCTTGAAAAACATGCCAGACACATGTGTGCGTGTGCCCCAAATCTCAAAAGAAGGAGAGATGAAGGAGAAGGGATTGCAGCATGGCCATTCCCCATGATGAGTGCTCTCTCATTTTCTCACCCTGTCTCTCTAGTGAGTGCCTCTGTGCTCCAGCAAAATTTAAAACATAAATAAATAAATAATAAATTCTCTTTCTTAACAAAAAAAAAGAAGAAGAAGATACTTGTCCATATTGTTTAGCTCGGTTTGCTGGCAGTGCGAGTCTTACCTTGCAGGGAGAGTAAAGGAGAAAAGCGCAGTGCGGAAGAGTTCAGTATCGAGCTCGTAGTACTGTTAGACATGGAGAAGACGTGTTTCTGCAGGTACAGGCTGTAGGAGTGCAGTGACACACCAAGCCTGCTCACGTGTAGCAGGGTTGTGTCTATCCAAAGTAAATTTCAGGAAGTTATCTTTTACACTGACTCAAAGTTGAATTTCGAAAATTACTTTTTGATATTTTCTCTCAAAAGGACATAGTTAGATTCTATCTTTTGTAGTGTATGTGAGTTAGTACTTGAAATAAGTAAATAATTGTTCCCCCTTTTTTTTAACATATCTGTGTCCATAACCTTCCAGTTTCACCAGCCATCCCCTCTAGTTCTGCCATGTAATGGTACCTCAAGTTTGTTCTAAATAGTGTTATTTTGGATTTGTTCTGTTTTTAACCTTGCAGAATCAAGAAGATCTACAGGTCATGAAATAGAGGAACCAGCAAATGAACAAAAGTTAGTTTTTGGGAACTCAGAACCTCTGTACTACACTGTAGTAACCTCAAATATTAAACTTGATTTTAAAATAAAACATGAACTTCTCTTGAAACTTGAAACACCTGCTATGTAGCTAACAAATGTTAACATACAGCACCGATGATAAAACTTATTCTAAGATCTTCTATCTTTTTTTTTGGGGGGGGGAGGTCTTAGCTGTAGGGTGTGTGCACTCATCGGAAAGACAGAGACAGAGACAGAAAGTGAGAAGTCACCCCTCAGCAGAGATGGCCATGCCACACTCTCCATTCTCCTCTTGGGATCTTGGGCACACACGCATACTTGCCTGGCATGAGTTTAAGTCACTGGGTCCAGGACTCGAACCATAGTCGACTTCGTGGGAGTCCAGCTACATAACCATTATGCCATCTGCTCGTCCCCTTTCTTCTATCTTTTGAGGGTCCTCCACTAGCTACAAAGATTAAGTTTTATTTTCCTCTGATTTATATCATAAAAACAATAGTAGTTTCCCCAGTTATGAAACTGAATATGCATTTCCAAACTATGTTTACTTCTCACTTCAATATTCAAATGTACTTTTTGGGGTAGGAATGACAGTAGTGCCCCTATGTGAAAATTGTGCTCTAACATTTTCAACTCATAACATTTTCAGTTCATATGATTGATGTCTGCCTCTCTGGATTTCTATTTTGTTTGTTTGTTTTAAGAGATTTTTGTTTTAGGGTATGTGTACTCTTTAGAGAGATAGGGAGAGGGAAAAAAGGTGAGAAATCATCCCCCAGGCATGTTGGCCACGCTGCAACCCCTTCTCCTTCATTCTCCTCTTGGATTTTGAGTATGTATGCATATGCGCCTGGCTTGAATTTCAATTCACCGGGTCTGGGACTTGAACAGTGGTCCGCCACGTGGGAGGCCAATGTCTTAACCACTATACCACCTGCTGGCCCCAGTGGATATGTTCTTTTGACTTCACTTTTTTCCTCTAATATTGTGGTTTGATTTATTTGTTTATGTAAGAGATCTGTCTTGCTCTGTTGCCTGGGGGCCTCAAACTTGTGATCTTCCTGCCTCAGTCTCCCATGTAGCTGGGATTGTAGGTGTGTACCAGTGCACCGGCTGTGATTTTGTAGTTATTCACACATCATTTGTGAAACTTTGTTATTTCAATCGCAAATTTTTATTCTGAATAATTAGTACCTTTTCAGTCTCAGATAATCTTTGTTAATATTTTCAGGAAATCAGTTTTATTATGAAAAAACATTCAGCCTATTTGTTTTGTATAACATGAAGAACATATGTCTAGCTTTTAACATGTCTGCTATTATATTACATAAGTGCATTTAACAACACAAGTTATTCCATAATACTGAGAACAGCAGCATAAACACATACATCTAAGAATTTTGCTACTTTATACAATCTTTCATTAAATAACATTTATACACACATTTCCAAACATTTCTAGCTTTCTGAATGTATTTGGAACTATATGTATATAACCACTAAAATAATATAGGCCCTTTGGGTGGATGACAGTAGAAGCCCATAAAATATTGTTCTTAAAAACAAAAACAGATTGTATTATCATTTTGCATACGTTTTAGTTATTTGAGATTTAGGAACTCTGATAAACTCAAAGGTGGAAAGATCTGTTACTCTTTAGAAGGGAGGACAGGTGGGGAGAGTGTCAGTGGCAGGGCTAGGACTTGACCCTGTACTAAGAAGTAGCACCTCAGTGTAGCTTATGGGACCACGTCAGGATGGAGTTATTCCTGTGCAGTTAAGATGAAGAGCTTTCCGCCTCCTGCAGAGGTAGTAGCAGCTAATTTGGTGACTGGTGGGCCAGTCACCTTTTAGAGCCGCAAAACAGGTGCAGGTCGGGCTGACATCTACGCTGTCAGGAAACGACGGGAGTGGCAGTCTCTGTGAGGTCCATCCTTATCAGCACTGCAGTGATTTCGTTCCTCTCTGGTTTTAAGGAGACTTTTTAGACCTATAAAAAGAGAAAGAGGATATAAAAGTGATATTCAGACCCTGGCTCCAGTCTGGCTTCTGCTTGGAACATACAGAGTTCGTAGATAACTGGAAGATTCTCAGGTAGGGGGGGATGGTGAGGTTTCCTGCTGTTACGCCATCATGGATTATCAGGATTGGTTTTTTTAGGTCAGAAAAGATTTGGGGAAAATATGGCAGCTTGCTTGGATAGATGTAGCTGTCTTAGGTTGAAGCGATCTACTGATGCTTCTGAACAGGTTGGACAGAGTAACTTTAGATCCCACACAAAGTGGCATCTCAGTGTACAAATAAAGGGAGGCGGAGGAGGGCGAGATGGTAGCATACGTTCAGCCCATTCGCCCACAACAAAGCCCAGTGCAGATATTTCTAATTTCCCAAGATTGCCCTTTCCCAGGGAGCAGTTCTTCTGCCAGCAATATGAAGCCTACCTTTCCTTGCTAACTGCTTTCAGTAGGTTCTTGATGGCCTTAGATTCGGGATCCAGACATCTCTTCTCCGCGTTCTTTTTCATTGTGGCACTGCAGAAGTAAATAGGGGTAAAAATATTTAAAACAATGTTGGTTCCATGAGAACAGGCAGAAGATACAGCTCTGCTATACGTTAGTTCTAGAATCATGGCGTCCTGATACGGTGCATGAATATAGCCATCGTCTATTTACTATGGTATGCGATTACAGTCATCACGTATTTAATACAGAACACGATTACATCCAGGGGACCATCAGATGGGGTTTTACTCACATGATCTCAACACGTGGACAAGATTGACTTGCAGGAATAATTTCCAGTTTTTCTAAGGCTTTCGGATGAACAAATTTATTACTGATGGTGATGCACGTACAGCGTACAGTTCGAGAGAGAGGCACTCCTGCAGGAAAAGAGACCAGGAAACGTTAGCATGGCATTTCACCTTAGGCATTGAATATAGATGCAATAACAAAACCTCTACCCCCATATCATGATATAATCAATTTGCAAAGGAGGGCAGCCCATTAGAACACATCTCCGAATGACCAGTTGATTATCTGCAAAAAGGGAATTAGCATCTTACTGGTTATGAAATGATGCTTTTGGGCATCGTTGAAGTGATGCAAGTAGTTAGGTAAGGAGGCCGCCCGTGTCTCATCCTCCCTCTCCTCAGCCCCTCACATTTGCTGTGTCTGTCTTCAAATTCCCTCTCTTCTGTTCTCCCTCTCTTCTTTCTTACTTACACTGCGCTCCTTGTTTCGGACTCCAACATGCGTATAAACTCTATGAACAGAGGTAACCTATGCTGATTTCCCTTTTATTTTTAGCATGCAGTGCAGTTTTTGAAAGTGCACTGTTCCTGTATTTTTAGATTTGATACCCAGTCCTATTAGTTTATAAATCGAGGTTCCTTACCTTGAGTGCCACTCAGAGCCAGAAAGATAAGGCAGAAAAGGAGAATGGCACTTGGCTTCATGATGCTGAGGCTGGAGGTTCCACGGCAGGAGGTTCGAAATGTGCCTGAGCTGTTGAGGAGTGTCTTAGAAAACGTGGGGCTAGTATGCAGTATTTATCTGCAAGGCACTTTCCCTCCCTTGGCTCTGATTGGATAACGATACGGTTCGCTCAGCAAAAACTGCTGGCTGTTCCATGGGGAAGTCCCATGTTGCAAAATCGAAGGTTTTATTTGTATTTATGTAGCCTCCGAGTTATGGAATTTCCCCTCACTCCCGTTTTTGTTTTTTTTTTCTGAATCTGAGTGAAGTAGGTTTCACTTTCCAAAACATGAACTGTTTCCTGAAAATTAGAACTTTATACCACATAGATATATTTTTTAATGGAACTTTTAAATTCTCATCTTTTACCTCCTGCAAAATATAAATATCAACTTAATCCTTAAATCAAAGCCCTAAATACAGTCTTTAAATGAATACAGCTTCATATTATGGCTTGCATTCATCTTAATTTGCATCAGTAAGGCATGAATAGGAATATTTAGTATTATTTATTTATGGGTTGCAGAGATGTCACACTTTCTTAGTTGACCCCAGCAGTTCTATAAATAAGGTAGGAAAGTTATTTTCATTTTGCAGATAGAAGAAAAGTAGTTACGTAAGGAGGTGGTTGTATTAGGTCACAAAGGTGGCTCTTCATTTATCTAGGATGCTTCTTCTCGATGTTTATTTTAAACCTTGTCATTACTTTCAGAGGCTACTTTCAAAGTAGCCTCAGAAATAGCATTTTTTTATCCTCTTTAGGTATATCTTAAGTTTTGAGAATAGCAAGTTGTATGTACCCGATGATTAGGGCAAGCTTTTAGCTTGGCAGCGCCCTTCGATCTGATATTATACGGTATTAAGGTTGATTGTCTTAGACGAGGCCAAAGATGATGGGACTGACAAAATTCAAAAAGTTCTACAAATGCCTAGGATTTTCATAATATCATTAGAATACATGAATAGCTTCCAGCATAGGTATTCTGAGGGAAACCACTCTTCATTTGGCTATCTGATTTCTGATGCATGAAGTTTCCTGTCTTACAGTTAGTCCTTAAAAGAGAACATCTTGGGACCAGCAGGTGGCATGGTGGTTAAGGCGCTGGACACTCCCCCGTAGTCGACCACCATTCACGTCCTGGACCTGGTGGCTTGCTTTCTCACTTTCCCTCTCTCTCTTTCTCTGTCTCTCTCATCAAGTTAAAAAAAAAAAGAATGAATGAATAAATAAAATGAAAATAAATCTTTTTAAAAATAAAATAAAAGAGGACATCTTAAAAAGACATCCAGAGAGGCCAGCAGGTGACATGGAGCGCGGGGTGCTAGAGCCTACACGGCCAGCTTTGCCATTTAAGTCCCAGACTTGGCAGCTTTAGAATCATGCTGAATGCATGCGCGTGCATGCCCCCACTCCTGAGAGAAGTGGAGAAGGGATTATGGTGTGGCCTGGGGTGGGGGTGATTTCTCACTGCCCCCCCACCTCTCTTTTGCTCTGTGTGTCTCTCTCTGGCAAGTGCACACACCCTAAAAAAAGACATCTGGAATGATATGAGAAAAGGATTCATAGCTAAAACAGCGTGATCGCAAGAAACAAGGGGTGCTTTTTAAGGAAATAGATTTAAAAGGGGGCCATGACTAGAGAGAGACCTTGAGGGAACAGCTTGACACAGGAGGGAAACATATCTTGATTTAAGATGGAGTTCAACTCTAAGAGACTGTCAAATGCAAAGCAAAGGGGAGAAACAGTTTCAGTCACTGAGCTGGGTCTGACCGTGAGAACTGAAATGAGCACAATTTCAGTTCAGTCACACATAGGGGCAAAACTTGGTTTCTTAGCATTCAGCAGTACTTGGCTACTTATTTACGGTAGATAGCAGCAGTAGAAAGCACACGATATCCGTATATTGGAACATGTATTGGACCCGACAGTAGAAATTCAGCAGTATCTAAGGACTGTAGTGGTCCTTGGTTATGTTCTTTGCAAGTGATTGGTGATAGGGGGTCAAAGATGAAGTGCTGTTCCAAACAGAGGCCTCACTCTGCAGTGAGCGATCTGAGGTGGGCGCGATTTGGAACCGAGGAAAGCGTTATGGGAGGTCTTTTCATAGTCAGTGAGGCTGCAGCAATGCAGGGATCAGACAGGAATGATCAGACCTCTATCCTGGGTTTAATGTATTTTGTGGTTATTATTTCTTTTCTTTTTCTGTGTTTTTTTCTTTTTCTTTTTCTTTTTCTTTTTTTTTGAGAAGTTTTTGCTATAGGGCATGTGTGCTTGCCAGAAAGACGGAGAAAGAGACAGAAAGTGAGAAATCACCCCCTCCCCCCGGGGGGATAGCCATGCTGCAATCCCTTCTCCTCCATTCTTCTCTCAGGATCTTGGGCATGCACACACACGCACCTGGCATGAATTTAAGCCACCAGGTCCAGGACTTGAACCACAGTTGACTACATGGGAGTCCAGCGACATAATCACTATGCCAACTGCTGGTCCTGCAAATTTATATATTCTAACAAAATTAGAATATTAATTTCGGAATGTAGGAAGAAACAAAGTCCTTTTCCCTAGTTACAAAACTTTTATACATGTACACAATACGCAACATAATTTAACACAGAACCTAACTGAACCTGGTCTGTTTAGTCAAAAAAGCAAAATAGCAGAGAGGGAAACCAAGCAACCAGTCATAAAGGTTGGTAGAGTCTCCTAGGGGTTAGGATTTTATAGGATCTGGGTCTCAGTTTTACAGGTCTAGAAGCCTGTTCTTCCCAATCATCCAGAGAAAGCATATTCTGAGAGAAATTCTGCTAATCAAAACTACAAGGGACTAAGACACAGATTAAAAAGATAACTTATTAATTTTTAATGAGGGGGCCGACAAGTGGCGTGATGGTGGACTCCCACGTGGCTGACCATGATTCGAGTCCCAGACCTGATGGTTTGCTTTCTCTCTCTCTCTTTCTCTGTCTCTCTCTCTGGTCAAATTTAAAAAAATAATAATAATAGGGACCAGCAGTTAGCATAATGGCTGTGTCGCTGGACTCCCATGTAGTCGACCGCGGTTTGCGTCCCGGACCCGGTGGCTTAAAACTCACGCCAGGCGCGTGTGCGTGCGTGCCCAAGATCCCAGAATGGAGGAGAAGGGATTGCGGTGTGACCATCCCCCCTGGGGGGTGATTTCTCACTTTCTGTCTCTCTGTCTCTCTCTGTCTGTCTGGCAAGCGCATGCGCCTTATAGCAAAAATCTCTCCAAAATAATAATAATAATAATGAATAAAATTAAATATTTAATTTTTTTTAAAAATGTGGACCTTCCCAGTAACTGGGATGGATTGAATGACTGGGATGGATTGATTCTGGTATTTAAGTCACCCATTTTCCAGGGTCAGAGTATCTGGGAGGTTGAATTAATAATTAGAACATTGCTAGGTTAGCATAGAGTCAAAACGAGGGACCCGTCTTGTTGTAAATGGAGTTTTGCTCAGAGAGAAACCTTACAGATGTAGTCAACAAGGAAAATCATTTAGGGAAAAAAAAAATCAAACTTTAGGGGGCCATGACTAGAGAGAGACCTTGAGGGAACAGCTTGACACAGGAGGGAAACATATCTTGATTTAAGATGGAGTTCAACTCTAAGAGACTGTCAAATGCAAAGCAAAGGGGAGAAACAGTTTCAGTCACTGAGCTGGGTCTGACCGTGAGAACTGAAATGAGCACAATTTCAGTTCAGTCACACATAGGGGCAAAACTTGGTTTCTTAGCATTCAGCAGTACTTGGCTACTTATTTACGGTAGATAGCAGCAGTAGAAAGCACACGATATCCGTATATTGGAACATGTATTGGACCCGACAGTAGAAATTCAGCAGTATCTAAGGACTGTAGTGGTCCTTGGTTATGTTCTTTGCAAGTGATTGGTGATAGGGGGTCAAAGATGAAGTGCTGTTCCAAACAGAGGCCTCACTCTGCAGTGAGCGATCTGAGGTGGGCGCGATTTGGAACCGAGGAAAGCGTTATGGGAGGTCTTTTCATAGTCAGTGAGGCTGCAGCAATGCAGGGATCAGACAGGAATGATCAGACCTCTATCCTGGGTTTAATGTATTTTGTGGTTATTATTTCTTTTCTTTTTCTGTGTTTTTTTCTTTTTCTTTTTCTTTTTCTTTTTTTTTGAGAAGTTTTTGCTATAGGGCATGTGTGCTTGCCAGAAAGACGGAGAAAGAGACAGAAAGTGAGAAATCACCCCCTCCCCCCGGGGGGATAGCCATGCTGCAATCCCTTCTCCTCCATTCTTCTCTCAGGATCTTGGGCATGCACACACACGCACCTGGCATGAGTTTAAGCCACCAGGTCCAGGACTTGAACCGTGGTCGACTACATGGGAGTCCAGCGACATAATCATTATGCCAACTGCTGGTCCCACAAATTTATATATTCTAACAAAATTAGAATATTAATTTCGGAATGTAGGAAGAAACAAAGTCCTTTTCCCTAGTTACAAAACTTTTATACATGTACACAATACGCAACATAATTTAACACAGAACCTAACTGAACCTGGTCTGTTTAGTCAAAAAAGCAAAATAGCAGAGAGGGAAACCAAGCAACCAGTCATAAAGGTTGGTAGAGTCTCCTAGGGGTTAGGATTTTATAGGATCGGGGTCTCAGTTTTATAGGTCCAGAAGCCTGTTCTTCCCAATCATCCAGAGAAAGCATATTCTGAGAGAAATTCTGCTAATCAAAACTACAAGAGACTAAGACACAGATTAAAAAGATAACTTATTAATTTTTAATGAGGGGGCCGACAAGTGGCGTGATGGTGGACTCCCACGTGGCTGACCATGATTCGAGTCCCAGACCTGATGGTTTGCTTTCTCTCTCTCTCTTTCTCTGTCTCTCTCTCTGGTCAAATTTAAAAAAATAATAATAATAGGGACCAGCAGTTAGCATAATGGCTGTGTCGCTGGACTCCCATGTAGTCGACCGCGGTTTGCGTCCCGGACCC